TGTGATGCTTGCTGCTGCACAATGGTGCCCCATAATTGTGTCCAATGTTTCTACATTTTTCATGTACGTGTTATAATGGCTTTCTTTCATGCTGCAGACCACGAAATAGCAACTGATTTACAGATGAGATACAGGTTTTCACAAAAACAAAATAAATTATAAAATGATAAACCTCACAAATTAGCCTTTAAACTATTTTTTTTTAAAGAAAAGGGATGAGTCAGAAATATAAATTTATTATATTCATTTAAAACGGGGTTATGTGTGTGCAGTTTCGGTCTAAACGAAAACTGCAGACGGGATTATTGAAAATGCACATTCATTCTCTGCCAGCAGGAGGCGCTTTTGGAACATTAGAAATATAGCGGTTTCGCCGGTAACGGCTATGAACAAAGCAGAGCTCCGCTCATCAATGCTACTTTATCAGATCAAATTAAAATGCCTTCAAAACTTTTCTGGAGACAGTCAATTCCCTTCAGAGATTCGTTCATATAATAGCTTGAATTAGTGAGAAGTCCACTGATGAGTTACCAGCATAAGCCTATGTGCCTGGGCTCATACACTCTCCAAAGGCTGTTTAATTCTAAACTTGAAAATACATTTAATTGTAGTTATTTTAACAAATTTTTTTAAATGAAACTAAAACAATTATGAAAAGGAAATGATACGTTTACATATCTAAGGATTGTATCAACCAAAAAAGTGTGTATGCGTATAAATGTGTGTATGCGTATAAATTACTCATAAATGAGTAAGCGGCATTTAAAACAATAAACATGTAATATGCACTGTTGCTCAATGTTTAATTACAGCTTCAGATGCATGATATTTTCATCTCCTTCAAGCAGGATACACAAGAAGCATGTTCAACTCGGACGGTTGTCGTGGTAATAAACACCGTAAACAGCAACCGTTCGAGTGTCAGCGCTTAATGCGCATCTCATATATGAAAAGCATTTTAGGGGGCCCTTGGCTTTTGGGGGCCCAAGGCGGTCGCCTGCCTTTGCCTAATGGGTAAGTACACCCCTGAACACAAGAGCAGTGGCTGACTGATGGAGAGATGAGCAGAGACGATACCTGAGCCTGGACAGCCGTCCTCTGTCCCCTGTGAGCGTGACCACATCAAAGCCCACTCTCCTGCCTCGCTCTCGGACCTCCTCTGTGTCGAAACCACTGACAGAGATGCCGGCCGAGACCACGGCATCGCACACTTTCTTCACCAGAGTGGTCTTACCCACACCTAGCAGAGGTAAACACTGTGTTTTACGGTCATTTGCCATCTTAAGTCACCATAAATGGGTTTATTTTTTTTGTGAGAATGACTGCTTAACCGATAAATTAATAAATGCCCATTAAATATTGATTTGAATATTGAAATTTTATCTCGCAATTCAGTTTTTTTTTCCATCACAGAATAAATTGAGACTTTTTATCTTGCAATGCAGACCATTTATTTGATCCAGGTTGTGAGTTTACAGCTCACAATTAGTTTTTTTTTTTTTTTGCCACCATGAAATAAATTGCAACTGTTTATCTAACAATTTTATCTTGCAATTCGTACTTTTTCGTACTAGTTTTATTTTTATTTGCCACAGAATAAATTGACTTTTTTTTATCTCACAGTTCAGATTTTTTTCTGCAATTGAGAGTTTATATCTCCCAATTATGAGTTTCTATCTTTGTATCTCAGTCTCCAAATTGTGAGATTTAAACTCAGAAATGTAAAAAAAAACTAAAAGTTAGAATTGTTAGATAAAAAGTTGCAATTACCTTTATTTATTTATATAAATAAATATGAAATAAGCTTCCATAGTGAAGTGTTATGAAATTGGTTGCTTGGATCAGTGGTCAGAATACTGATTTTATTTCAATTGCATATCCAAAGTACCTTGCTAACACCATCTGATACATCACTGTACCATGGTAACTCTAAAGTTTTGGTTTAAAATCAAAGCTGAGAGGAGCTGTTAATTTATTAGGCTATTTTAAAATTAAGAAACATTTTTATTTATTAGTATATTATTAATTTAAAAACATGCAAAATCTCTAAATGAATGTCCTCTATACTGTCTGTAAGAGTAGCAATTTACTCCAAGGGTGTAGGTTTGTTTTGAGCATTGGTGGGGACATAACATCAGACAACAGACATTTAATTGTTTGATCGAAATTATTGCAAGGGACAATTTAGTAGTGGCTGGATGTCATAGCATCTCTACAAAACTCTACACCCTTGAAAATCTATAAAACTTAAATATGAAGAGGTCAAGCAACAGATTAATGAGTTAATCCAAATTTCACAAAAAGCTTATGGACGTAATTATAATATAAGTCAGACACTGAAGTGAGTTGCTGTTTTTGTCTCTTCTGAGGAAGATTCATTCACTTGTTTTGTATACCCACACAGAGAAATTTTGGTTAATGTTGATCTGATTGAGTTAAACCATGGTAACCACAAATGAACCATGGTTTTGCTACACTAACCATAGTTGAACCATGGTATTTGTAGTAAAACTGTGGTTAAACAAAAAAAAAAACTAAACATGGTTACTACACTTTATAATAAACCATGGTTAATTTTCTTAAGGGATTTATATTGTATTCTTTCTTTCTTTTCTTTTTTTTCTTTGTTTTGTTTTTATAACTGTACTGCCTTAATGGCCTGATGTTTTGTACTGTTTAACAAAAAAACAAAAAAATAAAAAAATAAATCACATCTGATTGAGTTAAACCATGGTAACCACAAATGAACCATGGTTTTGCTACACTAACCATAGTTGAACCATGGTATTTGTAGTAAAACTGTGGTTAAACAAAAAAAAAAACTAAACATGGTTACTACACTTTATAATAAACCATGGTTAATTTTCTTAAGGGATTTATATTGTATTCTTTCTTTCTTTTCTTTTTTTTTCTTTGTTTTGTTTTTATAACTGTACTGCCTTAATGGCCTGATGTTTTGTACTGTTTAACAAAAAAAATAAATAAATAAATAAATAAATCACAAAAAAATGATTCGATTGATCTGAATCAAATGATTCGCAAAACGCGATCCGATTGGAGCGCTTCGAAACAGTGAATCATTTTGCGACGCAATGGTTTAACTGATTCGGAGTTTCGAAAAGCTCTCTTTCACCCATCACTACGTGCTTTTTAAAATCATTACAAGCGATGTCGAAATTCTAAAATGAATGTCTCCGTCTTAACTGTTGATCGACGTGACTAGTTTGAACCAATCGGAGCGGTTCCAGCGTGAATGACTCACTCAATTGAATCGGTTCGTCTGTTTCTCCGCTACGTACTACTGGCTTAGCTCGCTAGTTTTATTAACACTCCAAAGAGAAAGGAAAAATTGAAATCGCATCATATGACCCCTTTAACTGAAATAAGCGGGGGGAAAAAGTATGATATTTACAAATAAAATATCTATTTTCTACATCCAACATAAATCTAGAACATATTCAGGTGATGAAACTGGTTTACTGCTAACTAGAGAAAACACTCTATTAATGTCACACGCTGCTGCTCAAAATAGATGTTAGATGGAAACACCGTGCTCGATTATGATCGAGTTTGTAGCTTAATTGACTATATTTGAAATAGTGTGAGCACTGCGCAGTTGCAGACAGTTCAGTAGGAAATAAGCTGAAATCATCCAGTCTCTCATACCATTGAAGTGAATGTTCATAAAAATATATATTTTTTTATTGCATATGAACATACAGTATATAACAATAAGAGAAATACAACTTTGCATAGATTATTGCTACATCCGGCTACATGATTATGACCTTATGACGCAAGCTCAGAGGGCTCCCTGTGCACCGCAGGACTCACAGGGTCTTGTGCAACTTAATTTAGTTAATTGCGCAGGAATGTATTCATTTCTCACAAGGAATATTAACCAATCTGCTGTTTTTATCAAAATAATTGCACGATTTTTTTTTTACTCTCAAACTATTCTCAGCGGTTTAAAAGAAAAGAAGCATAGTAAATTATATGTTGTCAAATAATGATATTTATAGGACTTAATATTATATTACTTTAGCGTTGCGTCTGATTATCTGCAGCTTTTTTAATTTAAAAATGCATTGCTGAAAAAAATTATAATTTATGATATTGTTTGATATTAAAGAAAGATTGAGGAGGTGGTGTCCCATTAAATAAGATATCATATAAATTAAACAAATATATATTTAATATATATATACAGTGTATATATATATATATATATATATATATATATATATATA